AGCCTATTGCAAAAACACCTCGACAAAAAAAAAAAAAAAACTATCAGCAGTTATACATCCACAAACAAAGAAAACCTAGTGAGATGGACAAATTTCTGGACACATCTGATCCTTTACCTAGGTTGAACCAGAAAGAAATAGCCAAGATAGATCAATAATAAGTAACGAGATTGAATTAATAATAAATAGTCTTCCAACAAAGAAAAGTCTAAGTCCTGACAGCTTCACGCCTCATACCTAAACTTTTAAAAAGCTAACTCCAGTTCTCTGCAAACTATTTCTAAAGATCCAAAAGGAAACAACTCATATTTAAGAATAAAATAATCAAAAATGATTAAAAGTATTCAATAGACCACATTTTATTTTTTAAATTATTTATTTACTTATTTAATTCCATTTGTTGTTATTACTTTTAAATTTGACAAGAGAGAGGGAGAGAGAGAGAGAGAGAGAGCAAGCAAACCACCAGGTCCAGAACAGCGGTCGCCATGTAGGAACCCAAGCACCTTTAAACACCATGCCACCTGCTGGCACCAGAAAACTACATTTTAAACTCTTTTTCCAATCTGTTTATATTTGGATCTAAATCTGAATTAAGTAATTAACTATGCAAATATTACTTAGCTTGCATAATTTTTTCTTTGCTTTTTCTCTTGACTTTAATCCTAATCCTTGAGATATCTCAGATTTTTTTCAAAGTTACTTTTAGAGACCAAGCAGTCGCACAGCAATGAAATGGGGCAATCCTACATGGAAAGGTTTCCAGTTCAGGTCTCGAGATATCCTCAAGTATGCTGGGGTGAGTGTGTCGTAATCCAGGGCTAGCTAGCTGAAGACTGGTGATGGGGCATGCGGCCAACACCCTGCTGGGGGTGTTGTCTCTCTCTGGCTCTCTCGTTATCACCGTTTTTCTCACTCATGGGGAAATGAACTTAAAAATTACTTTAGTTGGCATGATTATTGTGCATATATATGGGACACAGTGTAGTTTTCTCAGTGTATGAATATAATCTGTAACAATCAAATCAGGCTGATTATTTATCAATTACCTCGAATATCTGTCACTGTTCTGTGTTAGGATTCGAAATCTCTTTTAGCTATCTTGAAATACAAATTATTGTTAGAGTTACTTGACTGTGCTATAAAACATAATTTACTCCTAATTATAATTTTGTATCCATTAACTAATGTGTTCCTGTCCCCACCCCTATGTAACCCTCCCAGATTTTAGTGAACACTGATCTACTCTTTCCTTCCTCAAGGTAAAATTTTCAGCTTCGGGGACCAGCAGTTAGTGTAATGGCTATGTCACTGAACTACCATGTGGTCAACTGCGGTTTGAGTCCTGGACCCGGTGGCTTAGACTCACACTGGGCACATGTGCGTGCGTGCCGAAGATCCTAAGAGAAGAATGGAGGAATAGGGAGTGCAACATGGCTATCCCCCCTGGGGGGTGATTTCTCACTTTCTGTCTGTCTCTCTCTGTCTTTCTTTTGAGTGCACGCGCCCTATAGCAAAAACCTCTCTTAAAAAAAATTCAGCTTCTATGCGTGAGTGAAATCATGCCGTATTTCTCTTTGGCTGGCTCATTTCACTAATTTCTTAGCGTACTCTCCATCTTTGACGGAGGAGTATCGATATTAACTAAATTCTTCTGAATAAGAGATCTGTCTCTTCTCTCCCTTTGTTTATTCAAAATTGTGTCAGTATGCTCAAATACTGCGTACTGTGAGTTGCAATGTAATACTAATGTATTCATCCCTTTTTTATGAGAGAGAGATTTTTGCTATACAATGTGTGTGCTTGTCAGAGAGACAGAGAGGTAGAGAGACAGACAGCGAGAAACCATTTAAGTCACCCAGCAGTCAGTGTGGAAAGCTTCCCAGTTGCGCTTCTGTCCCTTTTCTGTTCTGCAGCCTGTATGTGGGTGGGTGTTAGCACCTTTTGCATTGGTGGCACTATGAGGTATTTCAGGCTTTTTGGCCCAAATCCCTTCCCCATCCTACAACCACATATTTATCCAAGGGGCCTTACTTTCTTTTACGAGATGGTAATATTGAAAACCCAATACTGAGTGTCAGCTATGATCTTTGCTACTGAGTTGTCATTTTTTCCTATAATAGAACCTCTCAGCTAAGTAGGGAAATAGATGCATGTATATCTTATTGTCATTTTGAGAATTGGATTGTTTTCTATTGTTGAGTTTTAAGTTATTGGCACATTTGGTGATTAACTCCTACAGAAGATACGTATTTTGGGGAACCAGCAATTAGTGTAATGGCTATGTCGCTGGACTCCCACGTAGTCTACCGCAGTTCACGTCCTGGACCCGGTGACTTAAAACTCACGCCGGGCGCGTGTGCATGTGTGCCCAAGATCCCGAGAGGAGAATGGAGGAGAAGGGATTGCGGCGTGACCATCCCCCCTGGGGGGGTGATTTCTCACTTTCTGTCTCTATGTCTCTCTCTGTCTGTCTGGCAAGCGCACATGCCCTATAGCGAAAACCTCTCAAAAAAAAAAAAAAAAAAGAAAAGGAAGATATGTATTTTTTAAAATATTTTCTCCTAGTCTATGCCTTATACCTAGTTTTTTAACGTGTTATTTCGTACAGTAGAAGTTTTTAATTTATTAAAGTTCAACTTATCATTACTTTATCCGTGTACCACATTTTTGGTCTATTGTATGTAAAAACTCATCACCAAATTCAAGAAAGCATATATTCAGTCCTGTGATTTTTCCCCAGAGGCTTTGTTGATTACACATTTTCCTTTAATGTGTGTGGTTGATTGTAAGTTCATTTTTGTGAAGTGTGTGAGGCTTCTCTGTAGGCTCATTTTTTTGCTCACAGCTGCCCAAAAGTTTCAGCATCATTTGTTGAAAAGACTATCCTTTCTCCATAAATCATTTCCTTTTTCTTTTTTCTTTGTCCCTGATGCTCCTTATTTGAAAAATATGGAATGCTTCACAAATTTGCGTGTCATCCTTACGCAAGGGTCATGCTAATCTTCTCTGTATTAATCCAGTTTTAGTAAACGTGAACGTCAAAGTGAGCACTTCCATGAATTGTTTGTTTGTTGTCAAAAATTCATTGACTCCATAGATGTGGGACTCTTTGGGGGATTTTCTACTAAAATTTTCCTGTTTATCTATGTATCTTTGCTTTGGTTAATAACACTATCTTTGTCTTGGTTCTTACAACTTTTAATCATGCAGTATGACTTTTCCAAAAAGCTCTTCTCTTCAGTATTGTATTGATTGTACTAAATGTTTGTTTTTAAATAAGCAAATATTCGAATGAGTTTGTTAGTACCTGCAAAATTCTCTGTTAAAATGTTTTTCAATGTTCTGTAGTTTTTTTGTTTGTTTGTTTGTTTCGTTTGTTTGTTTTTGCATATAGATCCCATTTGTATTAGCTATACACCTAAATCATTTTGTTTCTGCTATTGGAATTTTAAAATTTTTTTTAGAGGTTTTTGCCTTAGGGCATGTGTGTTCATTAGAGAGAGAGAGACAGAGACAGAGATAGTGAGAGGGAAAGTGAGAAATCACTCCCAGGAGGGATGACCACACCACCATCTTTTCTTCCATTCATCTCCAGGATTTTTGGCATGCACACACGCACTTGGCGTGATTTTCAAGTCTTTGGGTGTGGGACTTGAACCAGGGTTGGCTATGAGAGATTCCAGTAATGTAATCGCTATGCCATCTGCTGGCCTTGGAATTTTAAATTCCAAATTTCAGTTTCCATTAGTGAGAATGGAATTTACCTTTATATATGAATCTTTTAACCTGCGACCTTAATACACTCGCTTATTTTTCCATGTTTTCACTCTAATCTTGAAGATATCTTACACAATCATATTATTCTTTCTTCCCAGTCTCTGTCCAGTTTCCCTTTTTTAACATTTTTTCTATTTATTTATTTTTATTTCTCCTATTATGACATCTAACACAATGTCGATAGGTGTGGGAGAGATCATTTTTTGTTTGTTTTTCCCAGTCCTAGGTGGAAACAGTACAATTTCTCAATAGTAAATGTAAATTATCTATAGTTTTTTGGGAGAGGGAATTAGTTTATTAGTTTATATTATTTTTTGAATATCCATGGTATCAGCAGCGAAGATGCCTTTTCATTTCAAATATTATTAATTTGTGTCTCCTCTCTTTTTCACTCACCAATTTTATTTCTCTTTCCAAAGAACCAGTCATTTTTAATGAGAGAAAGAGGGGAAAAGAGAGGATATATGGCTAGGTAGGCATTTATGAGATCTTCCCTTGCTATAATCTTCCTGCTTGAGAGTCCAGTTAGCTCAGGTTTCAGGGACATGTCTCCACGCCCATACAGTTTTTAGGTTGGTCCAGGAATCAAACTCAGGACTCTCTTGTGGCCCAATGTCAGGCAGTGGCTTCTTACAACTTGTATTGTCATAGCTGGGTTAAGAACCCACTTTTCATTTTGTTGATTTTATTTTCTGTTTTTAGATTTATTTATTTTTGTTCTAATTATTTGTGCTTGTTTTAGGAGTAAATCACTCTTTTTTCATCTAGTTTCTTAAGCAGAAAACGTAGGTTATTGATGTCAGGTTTTTCTTCTTCTCTAACATATGCATATAATGCTATAAATTACCCACCTATCACTACTTGCGTTGAATCCCATTAATGTTGGCAAGTTGTGATTTCATTTTCATATTGTTTAATGTATTTCATTTTTCTTGAGACTTCTTTACCTGCATTAATTATTAAAGTTTGTTTGGTGTCTAAATATCTGGGGGCTTTTTCTTCTATTTCATGTTATTGTGTTATCAATTTCTACTTTAATGCTATTATTGCCTGATAAGGTAAAATAAGATTGTCATTCTTTGAATTTACTGAAGTCTAATGGGTTTTAATATTGTCTATATTGGAAATGCTCTATGTGAGCTTGAGTGGAATGTGTATACTGTTGTCAAAAATAATATTCTGTACATGTCAGTTCTATCATGTTGATTGACAGTGTGTTCAGGTCAACTATATCTTTACCGATTTTCTGCCTGTATGATCTATCAATTAATGAAAGGAGGTTTTGAAGTCGTTAACTCTAATAATGGATTTGTCTATTTCTTTTTTCAGCTCTATCGGTTTCACTTTAAGAATTTAGACTCATTGCTTTTGTAATGTCTTAACAGAATATTCAACCCCTTTATCACTACATAGTACTTCTCTTTGTCCTCGGAAATTTTCCTTGTTCTCAAATATGCTTTGACATTATTTTCAGTTATATTTGAAAACAAAACATGTAACAGACACAAAAGGAAAAGTTATCTGTTGATGATAATGTATACGGCAATGCCTTTGACTTGACTAATATGTACTGTATTCACACTGGGAAAAACTATGTTGTACACCATAAAGATGTACAGTGATTAAAGGTAATTTTTTTTTAATTTTTGAAATAATAGATTATATGGGGACCAGCAGATGGTGTAATGGTTATGTTGTTGGACTCCCATAGAGTCAACCACGGTACAAGTCCTGGACACAGTGGCTTAAAACTCATACCAGGATCGTGCACATGTGTGCCCAGAATCCTAAGAGGAGAATGAAGAAGAAAGGATTGCGGTGTGGCCATCTGCCCTGGGAAGTGATTTCTTGCTTTCTGTCTCTCTGTTTCTCTCTGTCTGTCCAGCAAGAGAACATGCTCTATAGCAAAAATTTCTCTCTAAAATAATAATAATACATTATATGATTTTCTGAAAGGGCATCAACCTAAGATAAATTGATTTTTCTGTTGATATTCAAAGGAAATCCTATCACTATTTAAGTTCCTGTATGCCAAATAAAAAAATGATAAATATTTATTGAAGAATCACTCTATTCCATATAATAAATCAAGTTTTAATAATTTCAATAATTTTCGTTTTCCCTTTTCAGCACTTTTTTATTTCTTCTAGGATTGGACATATTGGCCTTGAATGGATGTGATGTATGAAGATATATAATATTGAAGAATGTGATGGCTATCTCAAGGAGTGTAGTTGTGAAAATACTAGTGTGGTATTAGATATAGAGGTGCTTTATAGATGTTCAACACATTTTCCTGGTTTTTATTTTGTAAACACATTCCCCCAAGCAAATGAAAATTTTAACTTCACAAACAAGAATTCATCTGAGATATGTAATTATTCTGCAACTTTATCTTTTTGTATTTAATTTAATTTTTTATTGTTATTATTATTATGTTTAATTTGTTATGCAGCAAGTGTGCTCAACAGAGAGAGACAGAGGAAGTGAGAAAGCAAGCTACCAGGTCCAGGAACCATGATAGGCCAGGTGGAATCCAGCCCCTCCACTACCATGCTACCTGCTGGCCCCTGCAGTTTTATCTTTAAAACCAGATATTTATTTAAAATATGAGTTAATATGCATAATGATAATGTAAGCCACTAAAGCAGACATCACTCGAGCTACTTCTGTTTTGGATATTTGAAGATATTTGAAGTATACCAACTATAATTTTCCTCAGTGTGACATATTTTTAACTGGATTAAATAAAAGTAGTTTCAGAACCAAAGACTCAGGTTCTATAGTTAAGGTGAATTATCTCTTTATTTCCTATTACATTATAATAGCTATAATATTTCTTACTTAGAATTTAGTCTTCAAAAAATAAAGCAAAAAATCATGGGACATATAGAGATACGTGTTTAATAGGTGTATTACTTGCTACTTAGATAAAAATTGAGAGCTTGATACAAATTAAGAATTTTATTTTTTACTTACCAAATGGCACGTGTACTTGCCAGAAAAAAAAAAAAAAGGAAAGATGAGGGAAAAGGAGAGTGAAAGGGAGAAAGGAAAACCACCTCCCAATGAGGTGTGGTAATACAGCAATCCTTTCTCTTCTGTTTCTTCATTATGTTGGGATTTGAGGCATGCACACACAGGTGCCTGACATGTTCTTTCAAGCTGCCATATTGAACTTGGGCCAACCATGTGAAATCCAGTTCCCTAGAGCACTAGACTATGGGATTAGCCCAAATTAAAAATGATCTCTATATTACAGAGCGTTGTGAATTTAAATAAATTAATATGGCATATTAAAAGTTTATAGCATCTGCTCAGATATTTGACAAATAACAATTCTATTACCATTTAATTTAATGAACTAATTTTATTTCAAGAGAGATTTTTGCTGTAGGGTGTGTGCATTTGCCCAAGAGACAGAGAGAGCCAGAAAGAACAAAAATAAGAACTCACTTTTCAGGTGGGATAGCCATGCTGCAATCCCTTCTCCTCCATTCCCCTTCTAGGGTTTGGGGCATGCACACACATGTACTTAATGTGATTTTCAAGCCACCAGGTCTGGAACTCTAACCACACAGCCAGCCATGTGGGACCCAGTGCCTTAACCTCCATGCCACCTGCTGACTCCAAAATGTATTACTTTTTTAAAAAGAGATTTTTGCTATAGGGCTTGTGAACTCACTGGAGAGACAGAGACAGAGAGATGGAAAATATGAAATCACCCCCCATCCCCGGGAGAGATGGCTATGCAGCAATCTCTTCTCCACTCTCATCTCGGGTTTTGGGGCATGATACACAGGAACGGGTATGAGTTTCCAGCCACCAGGTCCAGGACTCAAACCATGTCAGCCACATAGAAGTCCAGTGCTCTAACCATTACACCACCTGCTGACCCCATTACCATTTACTGTATCTAGCAATCTTTCCTCATTATTGACTAAACATTCCAGTTTTGAACTACCTTAATTTTAGCGTACTCAATTAGTAATTTTTCTTGACTTGTTCCTTATGTACATACATGTAGTAATATAATTGCTTGATTTTTGTATATTCTCCATTTTTTAGCTAAACCGTGATTACAGGGGTACATAGCCATTTTCAGGCAAACTCTGTTTTGTTAACACTGAAAAAAGATTTTTTGAAAATGATGTAGCCAAGTTAAAAATAATGAAACAAGTGGCAAACAATTTCTAAAAGCTAGTTTTTAAATACTGAAAAAATAAAAATAAAAAAACACAAAAACTGGGGCCAGCAGGTCGCATAAAGGCTAA